CTACCTATGTGTCCCGGTACCTATGTGTCCCAGTACCCAGGTACCTATGTGTCCCGGTACCTATGTGTCCCAGTACCTATGTTTCCCAGTACACGAAACAAAGGATTTTAGGATTAGTCCTAGGCTGTTACGTCAGCAAACACAAAATAAAAATGTTTTTTTAGTTAATTTTCAAATAAAAAACTGTCAGATCAGTTCACAATTTTTGCATTAAGTGGGGGACACACCATGCGAAATTCGCATGGTATAAGCATAGATATATACAACATATATATATGTGTTGTATATATCTATAGTATAAGCGTATAAGAAAGCGTGGCCGATGATAATCAGGGTGGGCTCAGGTCAGTGATACATGTACATAAACGTGATCTTATACATTGTATCACGCAAGCCAAGCAAGCAATTTCATTCTCTCATGACTTTAAATAGTACCCCCTTTTAATATGGAGGAACATATAGGTACCGGGGGGACACAGGTACATAGGTACCTGGGTACTGGGACACATAGGTACCTGCATGGGTACTGGGACACATAGGTATGGACCCCGTATCATCAATACGTACTATATATATTTAGAAACATAATTAATATAAGTTAATATATACTGCGAACAAGGCTATATCGTACTCTTTATCTCTACTTTCTCAAATCTTGCGACCTAATTCAATAATAGATGGTAAATGCACCGATATTAGAACGTAAACAATCGCACCATGTGTATACAATCAGCTGGTGGATATGCAACCGGAAGTAAAGCATGCCCGAGTGCGTGAGAATCTGCGCGGCTGAACCTATTTTGACCAACGGGTGGCGTTGCGGTGGAGTTGGCTATCTTTCTGTGTTCTATATCTGGAAAATCCAAGTAGAAACTGGATGTTTGTAATTAATGGCTAGTGAATTATATTAATTATGTTGTTTTTATAGGTGATGCCCTGAATAAGATGATTTGCAACGTTAACAAGCAACGTATAGCATGGGTTGAACAAGCGGGCCATCACCCCATTTCTCCATTCAAACGCAATGCTCACTTTAAGGGCCATAATTCAAATATCAGTGATCCACAGTTTGCCACAGGTAGAGAACCTTGTCATCGTCTACAATATGTTTGTGATGAATTTATTATTATTCCTGTTCATTATCATCACTTAATGTATGTAAATTGAGTAAATTTGATTTTCAAAACTAAAATAGCAACATTGTAGTCCATAAGGATGATACGTACAGTTTCATATGCTTCTAATCTGTGTGGTGTCAGGCATATCAAACATTTTCCTCATTTATAATTGTTTATTTAATTTACATGTTGTAATACGTGTGTATTTCACTAGCTGTAATTGTAAAATATTAATTTCAGTATTTGTTGTTAGAGAAACATTATTTTACGACCTTAAACGAATACCAACAAAATTGTTTTGAAAATATCATATTGTGTGTGTATTTCAGAATCAGCTGAAACTCCTTGCTCGCCAGCTGAATACAATTCAAGGGCCGTAGATGGAAGAACTAGTACCCACTTGTTGCCCCATCTCATTGGGAATGTAAATGGGAAAACCATTGACTGTTTGCCGTAAGGATGCTGCTTTATTTCAATGAAGGTTATGAAAATATTAGTAAATCATCGCTGGCAGGGACCATCAATGTTTTTTGTTTTTTTCCATCATTCTCAATAGTAAAAGTATGTATTTTCTGGAGTTAAGCTGTAAGTAAACTAAAGCAAGATAAAAAATAATTGACAATCTGGTTTATAATGCTCTAGCTAGGTAGAATAGCATTGTAGTTTTTTGGTTAGTTGGTTGGAATTGCTTGAGCCAAAAATAATTTCTCTATGCAGATGTGTGACCTATTGCAAATATATATGTGAACGTGGTATATTCTTTTTCGCTCGTCCGTTTGGTGGGTCGTGCATCCTGCGTGGATTTTCCCTAGTATACACATAGGCGTATAGTACAGGCATATATGCCTATGTTGCACCACGGCCTGCGCAGACATGTAAGGCGAATGGCTTACGAATTACATAGGCCTAAGAGGAAATTCTCCTTTTTATAATGAAATATGAAAAGAATAACAAAACAATATTTTATGGCCTAGGACAGGTTATCGGCTGGAAATGTTCGTTACGATGTAGCAAAGGCAATGAAAACTGATAAGAAGTAACATCAAGTAGCACATCAACTAATATTAATGTCAAAAAAATCACTTAAATGACATCAAGCATATGTCATATGTCGTATCTGTCATGTACGGAACAAAACAAACGCTGAAAACCCCTACTAGGAAAAGAAGCCTTGTCATATTTGTTACTTTGACTCAATAACTTATGTTTGCATACGCAGTAATTTTTAAATTATGCAAATTGATGAATAAAACAATTCGGAATCAAATTTATTTCACCATTTTTGAAAGCTTAGGCTTGCAAGGCTCGTCTTAAATCACTGTCTATGAAAAGCAAACCTTATAATATAGGTCTGAGAGGGGACTATCCAGAGTTAGTGTAGAACGATTGCAAAGTTTAATAGAGCTTTTATGTCATCCAGTTTCCATGATTCACCTTATATTTGGCAAGGTTGTCTGCATTTATATTTTTTCTTGCTGATGGTAAAAGCAAGTTGATAGTAATAATATAAATCTTATAATGTAATATTTTGTGTTGGAGAAATAAAGGAAATTGGTTTCTAGTAATAATTTTGCTTCAACTGACTAATTGTAATCTCTGCAATGCCAAGTTTGGTATAGATGACCCAGATCGGAAATTTACTTGTTGGTGCTCATCTGCATTCCAATTTATGCGTGCTTGGTCAAGTGTTTATAGATAGATTGTTGCCACTGACACGATACTTAAGGCAGCGCTGTAGCTTGTTTGTACGTGCATGTACTTATGGTTGCTGCACGCAAAGTAAATAGTTACATAATTATAGAAGTTGTTCACAGAATATTTGCTTAAACATTGCATTTTCAACACAAGATACCACTACCACTGCATTTTGAACTCAGATATGGTTATCTAAAATGCAAAGTTATGCATGTTATTAAATTAACTGTGATACATTATATATTTGTCTAATTTAGACGAATTTTTTCCCATTCCTGTAAGGGTAGTTTGCATCTTGGAGATATGGGGCAGGGCAGCTAGAACAATAAGTATGCCTCTATTATATATCAGTGCACTAACATGTTTAATAATTTGGCTGTTAAATTATTAAGATGTGACTGCTGTCACATCATGCAGTTATAATCCAAGGTTCTGTGCTTGGTTTATTGTTGTTCTCCTGCTTTATAAATTATTTGTTGTCCGAAACTGAATCTTCCACTTCTATTCACCTTGTTGCTCACGACACAGTTATATACTGCACTATCCAATAAGGGTGATCAATTAGCCATCCAGAGTGTCCTTGTCTATGCTGAGAAGTGGGCAGCAACGTGGGGTATGGCTTTCAATACTGGAAAATGTAAAATTCCTCGCATTACCCGCTATTAATAACCCTTTACTTTTACTTTTGTTATTGTTCTGAAGTTGTTTTTGCTCAACTTGATTGCCCTCTTTGTGTCTGCTTTATCCATGCCAAACTTATAACCTTTCATAAAATTCTTCATGGTCAGGTGAAGATTGGTCTTCCATCATGCTTGCTAAAGCCTGATCATAGCACTCGATAATCTGAGATTGATAATTTCTTTCCACACGTGCCATCTTCAGAGGATCCCTTTAGCGTCTGTTTCTGTCATTCCGTTCTGGAATTTTCTCCCTTCCTCTTTAGTTAATTGCAAATATGAGGCTTTTTCTACTGCTATCCACAGTGTTGATCTCAGAGTTTGGTACAGTAGACATTGAAGATTATTATTTGTGAGCTTATTCACTTGTCTGGTGAGCTTCCTGTCGGGGCTGCCATTTTGGTGAAGTAGAGTACTGTGATTGGTTGATGGTTCGCATAGAGCCACCTATTGGCAGAATTTGACTGTTCTGGAAAAGGGGTTAAAATTCTATGTTTCATGAGCCTATTACAAATTAATCTGCAAAAAATTTTGGGTTAACATTGGTGATTTCTTATCAGGATAATATATTTATCTTACTCACAGATTTAAACTTGGTTCCATGAAGTGTCGACCGAAAGTGAACAATAATCACTGGTCGTCCATGGCCTACATGGGGTGCCACTTATGCAAGATTCATGTATCCAATTGTCTACGTCATTGTAACTTGCGCGTATGGTGCAGATTTCGCTGCAATGCACTAAGCTGCTATGTTGATGTCCACTCTGTCTAACTCACGACAACTAGATGACTGACGTAGCTTCACTGGGCATTTCTAAACTGCCTGTTAGCATGTAATCAGAATCTATTGTGTTGTGCGAAAACAATGACATGGTGACACCTACACTGGTCCAAGTCTATGAAACTAGCAGACGCTTTGATTGACATACAATATCTGTCTGTTCAGGTGAGGAATTAATCACACGTACAACAGACATTGTTTGGATGGGAGCTCTCATTGCAGCATTTTTACTGCTGATGGCAATGGAGCCAAGACATGTAGCAAAACTGTTAAGAGATCGGAATAATTATTTTGGTTTGCAGGAGCAAAGGTTATTCACTCACTTTAAATTTCTTTGGTATGTGCTGGTGAATTTAGAAAATGAACTTTTCTTTGAATATAATGACGTGGAGTTGTTTTCATTTTCGTGCTGTCCTTGAGTTGCTCAAGAAGATAAAGCTAGACGAGGGTAGGAGCGAACAGATGACAGCACTAGGCAGCAATGCTGGTTTAGAATTAAGAGGAAGAAAGCTTTCTGCTGGCTCGAAATTTGGTGCCACCTGGTCTTCACAAGGTGAGAGGCCTTATGTCACCTGTTAGGAATTGTAGCTGTAGAGTTACGTGCATAGCTCCATTGGGAATGGCAAGATCGGTCAATATTAATGTTTTAGTCCCTTTAGTTAGTAATTATTTTCCAGGTGTTAGTCAGGACAATGACTGTTAATGTATTTATGTGCTCGTATTTTCGCTATGTGGTTCAGGAGAGATCATCTATCAAACTCACAGCTGCCTATATTAGTCATGTGGCTTAGGTCCAGATTCGAGCAGGATGGTGCCATTCCGGAGGAGAGCACCAAACTTTTCCCATGTACTATACATTGCCTTGGGTATAAATTTGTGATAGAAGCCACTTCACCAATGTAGAGGGAGGTGGCCATATTCGATTCAAAGATGGCCACTATGTAAAAACTCATAACTGCCAATATCCCAGCTTCAAGGCCACTTAGGATGGCAAACTTGGTGTCTAAACATACATTTTCTGGTGTGAAGAATGCAATTATATCATTTAGAATATCAAGAGATAAGTATTTGCATCAATATTGGTGAGCTCTTATCACGATATGAAATGTAAATATGAATTATTGTAAAAACTGGAACTGGCCTCAAGCTCAGGGTGACGACAAATATGTGGTCATGTTTGGCGGTCCCCCTATTGAGATGGCAATGTGGAACACATGGAGACTACTTGGAGGCTTCTGGCTGGACAACTGCACTAACCCGGGCAGGCATCGCATCCTCTGGCACATCAGACTCATTCCTTCGATCAACCCACCTCACCAGAACACAAGATGACCACCAAGTCAGTGTTCTGACTTTGGCCAAGCTGCAGCAGCGTGACTTCTTGGAGATTGTGAAAGAAGGACCACATGATCAAAAGACCAACGAGGCTTGGAAACAAGCTATGATTGCCAAGAGTCCACCACTCCAGTACTGGTATACCATACTCAATATGGAACTTCTGGGTTTGATTTTGACCGGGCCCACAGAGAACAGGATGTCCTCTTCATGTGGAATCACTGAAGGCTCTGGTCCCATGGTTCTTTGCCCTTTATCACCAAAACTATGTCAGATAGATTCCTATTCATATTTGTGACATGGAAAGTCTACCCAAATCCATTCAGGAGGAATTTGTAAAACATGGTCAGTAGGTTGTTTCCAAGATTACAAAGAGATTCCAAGCATGCCACTTGACCAGGCTCATTGGCTTGGTGAAAGGTTCAGGCAGTGCAGTGGGACTCACTGAGAATCCATTAGCATTCAGGAAGTGGATGAACAAGTGCTGGACCTGAACAAGCACGTGTTCTCCAGGAGTTTGAGCTAGAGTACATTACAGAAGAAGTGAACAGACAGCACCACCATGAAGAACGTGTGCTTAACAGGAAAATATTTATAGAGCAAGCACTTTGACTGGTGCAGACCATAGGATCGGCAATCCATTTGTAGATGACACTCCTGAACTTGTGACGCTAAATACAAGAAATGTCATCAGTGAATTTGTTGTCAACACAGTGCACATTATAAAAGAATTGGGAAGGGATCAATACAATATCTACAAATAATTATTGACTCAGTATAATTAATTCAGTCTTTATTGACCGAACATGATCCCTCCCCGAACCCGTCGAGAAAAACTCCCTGCCTCTCTTCAGATGTCCACCACCAAAGACAATGCAAAGACAAAGCACCAAGCAGGATGGGCAGATCTCGATGCTGACGGCTGATGAGTCACTCTTCTCCCGATTGTATATAGTCCTGCAACA